TTAAGGTACATCTTTGTTTTTTTTTTTAAAACCGCGGTAATGCCAAACATTCGGCTAATGCACAGGTCGAGGAATGTCAGTTCGTTCGCATGAAATAAGCAGAGAAAATAAATAAAGATCAATGATGGCGCTTGCAACTGGGCACGAAAAGCTGTATCAACAGGTCGGTCAGTTTAAATATTCTGTAGATATGATAAATCGGGCTTCCCCTAGCTCTTGTTCAAAAAATGTTTCTTTATGCGAACCCTTGTCTTTAATCTATTTGCAATGTAAATCAGAATGGGGCAATTTGACAGTTGCTGGGAATATTAATTTACATTACTGATGCTGCTGTTGTTATCACTGTTATTATGTTTATTATCATTATCACAATTATCATTATCATTATTATTATCATTACTATTATTATTATCATTATTGTCATCATCATCATCATTTTATTATCATTATTATTATCCTTATCATTATCATAATCATTAACACTATTATAATTATTATCATTAATATTATTATTATCATTATCATCATTGTTATTCTTATATTTTCATTATTATTATTATTATATCATTATCATTATTATCATTATTATTATAACTATCATTATTGTCATTATCATCATTACCATTATCATTATCATCATTTGTTATTATAATCATCATCATAATTATCATTATTATTATTGTCCTCACTATCATCATTATTATCATTATCATGATTATTGCTACTATCATGATTATCATTACCATTATTATTATTATCATGATCATTATCATCATTATTAACTAATCATCCTTTTCATCATTATCATCATAATTTTTAATACAATTACTTTATATAAATGTATATATATATATATATATATATATATATATATATATATATATATATATATGTATATATATATATATAATTATACATGTATATACACACACACACTCACACACACACACACACACACACCACACACACACACACACACACACACACACACACACACACACACACACACACACACACACACTTTTTTCAGCTTTCAAGGACTATTTTTCCGAGACAGCTTTTTTTTTATATGTATGTATATGTATACATACACCACATATATATACCCACATATATATATATATATATATATATATATATTATATATATATATATATATATAATTATATATATATATATATATATATATATATATATATATTATATATAATATATATATATACATATATATACATATATATATACATATATATATATATATATATATATATATATATATATATATATATAATATATTATATTATATAGACTGATAGATAGATAGACAGATAGATGTGTGTGTGTGTATGATGTTATACACTGAAAGTTCAAATCTCAGTAAGATTCTAGAAGCGCCATCTGTTGACTGAACGCTACACTTCTAAGTTGTCAAATCTTCCTTTTCCAACAGCCGAATACCTACTGCTATAGAAAGATTCGTTAGATGCTCGACTACATAACAATGTTGCATAAACTGCCGATGTAAACAGAAACGTGTGGGAAGTTTCTGTAGCTGTCTCGGAAAATTTGGTCTTTGAAGCTGTTTGAAATAGGTATTTTGTGATAAATTTTATCATAGGAGGTTCAGAGAAAGATGCTGCGTCAATTGATAAATTCTACGGCGAGAGTTACTTGTCAGAGCCAAAGGTTTGTGGACGTCTTTAGTGATATAACTAAAGTCTAACATGTATTATTGGTCTATATTTTTGGACAGTTGTCTTAGCTCTGGCCTTATTAAAGGCAATAAGAATCTGCCAATGGTAATTGTAATGATTTATATTCTCATAATATCTTCATAGCTTACATTTTAAAACTTTTTCCCCTCCCAATACCCTCTCGTTGTTGTGGGGAGGCTTAGGAGACGAAGACTGAGGCAAAATGTAGGGAATCACCCCTACCTTGGGCCTCAGCTCTTGCCTCAACTAATTTTGATTTGTCTTTTCTTTTTGGTAATTTTCTAGAATATGTCCACTAAACAGATCGCAACATTTTTGGTATCATTGGATTCCTCTCACCGTCTACAATACAGATATGTAGGTTTTATTGTGCGGCAGCCTCCTTCAACCCACACTTTCTTGGCCCCAATAGCAGGGGCGGGCATGAAAGGTACCAGGGAAATTGCAGGGTAAATTGTAAATGATATACACAGAATCATTTACTATATTTTCTAATTCAGGGGGCTTGGCTCCTTGTGACTCCCCAACCCCCACTCAGGAAAACAGGGCAGCGGACGACCGTCATGCGGGAGCGACTTTGCCAAGTCTGTCCGACAGTCTCTCGTGCCGTGAATATGTGAAGGATTCTTTGTTTTCCTGGGCGGCGGTTGCAGGAGGCACAGCCCCTGTATTAGACAATAAAGTGACTGATTTAGTGTATATCATTTATGTTTTACCCTGCAATTTCCCTAGTACCCCTCATGCCCTCCCCTACAATTGGGGCCAATTGTGGGGGGTTGGGGGGGTTTCTGCATAATAATTTTTTATTTGGAAACTAGACAAGAATCCAATGATACTGACATCGTCGCGATCTGTATGGTGGATATGTTCTAGAAAATTACCTTCTTTTCTCCTTTCTTCTTCTATATCTTCTTCATTCCCTTCTATCCCATTCCTAAGGACCTAGAGCCATGCTGAAAGGATGAAAGGCTGGCTTTGTGTCAGTCATGAATGGCCTCCAGGAGCTATGGGCATGGTGTTACCTTTGGTTAATTGCCCAGCCCTTACCCCTTATGGGGACCCTGAGGGTTAGACTGTTTCTTTTCGCCATTTTATTCAGGCTCACCATGGCCAATAATGAACATTCTTTACCCTTTATAGGGCCATTAAAGCTTACCCCTTCATCAATTAGCCTATGTGAATTTGATTTGGATGGTTTTGAGACACCTGCCCCTCCTTTGACCACAGTTCCGACCACTGATACTAATACCCCATCTTTGACGCTTACGAACAATTCTAACCTTTTCAAAATACCCACCCACCCTACAGAAAGCACCCCTTCCTCTCTCCCAATATTCTTCTCTTCATCTCCTACTGTACAGTCCTCATTAATGCCTACCCCCTCTTTCTTTATTACTATTCTTCATTTTTGTCCTCCCCTGCACAGAACTACTCCACTCCACACCACCCCATCTTCCTCTTGCCCTAGTCCTTCTACTACCTCTACCTCTGCAAACCTTCTGAGTACTCTTGATTTGTCACATCTGAAAAGTTTCTTGTTGATATCAGTTTGGCAGTCTGCCCACACTTTTCACAATGTAATTTAATATTAGGTTATGCTCTTTACAAAAATGTATTAATTGTTCAGTTTCACCAAAAAACTTTTTTCTCGAAAATTACACTGAAGCCACTGTTACAGTCATGGCACCAGGTAGCTATACTAGAAAATGTCAGTGTCCATCCTTAGTTTATGCATGCCCTAACAGACAAAACACTCTCATTATGAAACTAAAAGATTTTGGAAATTCTTTACAGTATGGATGCACTTGACAGAGACTGTCCCGAACTCCACTTCACAAAATTTATTCAACAATCTAAATTGTCCTTACTGGGTATACCCAAGGAGAGGGTTGATGGGGTGCTTCACCCCACATGCCCTGGGGGAAACATTGTCTTGGTATGCATAGCAAGATAGAGCTGAAAATTGGGAGCACCATGTGGACTTGGGCTGAAAGCGAGGCTGAGAGCAGCGCTTTCCATGAACTTTTTCTTTTATTTGTGGCAATAGCATTCATGCCTGTAGATTATTTCTTGTACCAACTACTACAACTTTTAGTCTTCTACAAGAGTATCATCTTCAATTTACCCTACCTTAATGCATCCATACCATAAAGATTAACCAGAATTTTTATCACTAATGTTAGGGTAGATCTGTGTGAGATATAAATGAAAAGTTAAACATACACCATTTGTGGTGATGTCATACGACGTTGATGTGCAGTGGCCGAGCAGTAGTTGTGAAAATTGCACAAGAACTTTGTAAACATTAGGTAGTGTGTAGACATAGCTGCAGTGTGGCGATTTGCGAAATATATTTTAATTGATATTCTGTTATTGGTTTGTTTCTGCAAATTATTTTTGATGTTGATCTGTGCTGTATAGTTTTTAATTGCTTATAAGAATTTGGCCTTAGATTTTCTCAGTCAGTGTGGTCATTTTGTAAACCTTAACTAGTAATTCTTAACCCTTCAGTAACAAGTATGGCTATAACTGTCTTGACGTATTTGGGTATTACGTCATAGGTGTTATGGTTTGCTCTACTGAGCAAGCAGTTGGACCAGCTGTTATCAGCACAAACTGAGCCAGAAAGTTTTGTCTGTTGTGTAATGATTACATCACAGAAAATTCTGGCTCCACAATAGGGTTAAACTGGTAAATTTCAAGTTTTACATAGCTATCCAACCTTGATATTATTGTTCCTTGTTCCAGTTGTGCACTTTGTGATATGTGTGATTTTTTTGTTATTTTCCATTGCAAATTATATAAAAGAAAGAATTGGTAACTTTATGAAGTGACTACACTCTTCAGAGACTAAGTCCCTGTTAATCCAGCCACTTGTGGGGATCCACAAACATCACAGTATAATCCAAGCACCTTCCTAACCCAGGGCCTCACCTGCCAGACCCTACCTGCTCACTTGTATTTCTCTGTCAGGGGCTCCATCTCTGGACCACCACCTGATTGCTGTGGACTTACTACCTATTTTCTTCATCTATGACTTTATCATATGCCTTAGCTGATCATTTCATGTATTATTGAGTTTAATTTTTCCCTTTCTTTATGATATTGCCATTAGATTTTAGAATAACTGATAAATGCATATCAAATTAATCCTACCAATTGACTTTCTGGTGACAAAGTGCTTATGAAGGTATATGTAAGTTTAAACAAAATTCATAAAGAAAACCCTGTTAACAGTGCATGTACCCAGTGCCAGTGGGTTAACAAGCAGTCTGCTATCTAGATATTAATGTATTTGGTAATTTTTGACTAAGCAGATACAGATTTGCTTTATGAAAAGCCAGAAATTCTAGAGAACTTTGAATTGTGTTTACAATATTGTAGAATTCTGTTAGGATATTAAATATACTGCTATATCTAGTTATCTGTTTATCTATAAGGTTGGGAATCCAGTTACTTCAGCCAAGATGTTACCAGTCAACTAGCATTGATGAGGACAAGACAACAGCTACTATTTTGAACCAGGAGACCGATTCTGGGCTCATGGTAGATGCATACAGCCAGGTAAAATATATTCTTACATTTAGGGGGTGGTTGTTCAGTAAAGTAGTTATTCAGTGCTTTATTTTTGTAGAACTTTTCAGTGATTCCTTGCTTTCAGTGGGCATATCAGGTATTCTAACCAAGAATGTATGAAAGTGTGATTTTTGAAATAATGGATATGCTATAATCTAATGGACAATAAGTTTATTATTTCTGTACATATGTCTAGTTTCCTGATAATTCTTAAAATGTTAATATGTCTGAACTTAGTTTTGATGGTAGATTTTCTAATGATTATACTGTTTCTTAGATGCTACCAGAAAATATTCTGCTTTTTCTTTGTTTAGATTTTTTTTTCTGAATTGATTTTGAAGAGTTTGTAGTGGAGATTAATATCCCTCTGATTTAAGATAAGGAAAATGTAAATCTAATCTGTGTAGTGGTATTTGAAACTAAAACATTTGTAAAGACTGCATTAATCTTAAAACATGATATATAGCTGAATTAATACCAATCAATTATCAGTGTGGTTAAAACACTAAAAAAAAGCTCTGTTGTTGGCATGAATCCTTAAGGAGTAAGAGATTTCTTAAGCAATACTCTGTATAATTATATTGTGAATACATGTATAAACATATTCATTTAAGAGAATGTATATTTTCAGGCTGGATTCAGACTAAATAATGGGATGAAAGTGTTAGGCCCCATTGCTATATTCCCTAGATCTGTTCTTAGTTGGAAGGTAAAATCTGCAGAGGATATAAATGAAGATTCACTGTCTCTCTTTCACATGTTGGAGCCTAAGATTGGTAAGTTTTTTTTTTATATATCCCTTTAGTTTTTCATTTATTTATGTATATTCTTAGTTTTGTAGTTGATGCGTTGTAGTTTTTACAGTATTTAAGAAGAATGACAGAATTTCATCAGGTGCAGCTGCTTCCCCATTGATTCTGAAATTCAGTAGTCTACTTATATTTTTCACAGTTGTAGTATTTGCAAATTTAATCCAAAACTTTTTCTTTGCAAAATAGAGAATTATTTAATATTATTGTTTTTGGTTCACTATATATTTACAGACCATAAAATAAATATCAAGGATTAGTTATTTTTTTAAGAAATTGATATTTTTATTAAATAAAGCTTTGTATGGAAAAAAATACTGTTTTATTAATATTATTATACTAATGATAACAATAATGATATTAATATGACTACGTCTACAACTACTACTAATAATAATGATAATGAGGATTATTATTATTGCTTCTTGCAGATCTTTTAGTGATTGGTGTGGGAGACAAAGGCAATAAAGTTGATCCTCGTGTTGTGCACTACATGAAGAATAAGGGCATCACATTAGAGGTAAGTTTTTTAATTGGCTTGATACATTATTTAGGGAAATATTAATAATTCTCTGTTATAGATGATAAATGGTAAATCACATTTTAATAAAACGTCAACAGAGTGTATGTAGCTGTAATAAAGGATATTCTGAATATGTTAAAGCAAGAAATTGGTACATGAAATGGATATTGTCAGCTTGTAGCAGCAGCATGAGAGGATGTCATTCCTTATAAAATTTTAAGTATGATAATGCAAATATATGATGATACAGATGTTAGTAAGTTCAAAGGATATATATTATACATGCTTGATTGAATTGAGCTTCATTTTGAATTTTTAAAATATGGAGATAAAATTTGAAAGTTGTCTAGAGCTGTGTTAAGGAGGAGGCTGGTTGGAAAGGAATGTTATACTTTTACATAATTTGATGTTTCAAGTGAATACTGTTCATTGGCTTAAGTACATTACAAGATAGATTACAAGCTGAATGACATAGTCTTATTATGTGAAGTGGGAACTTATTTGAATATTTTCTTTAAAAGCAAAGGTCTTTCAGTGTAATGGTTGTAAGGGCCTTTTTTTAGGATTATTCATACAGTTTATAACTTATCTGTTAGTCTAGGTTTGAAGTATGTCAGCTGTTTATGGATACATATGGGAGTAGAATATATTTGTGGTAATGTTTGTAGGATTGATGAAAATAGGTTTTCCTGATATAAGACAATAAACAAAACTGTTAAACTAGGAAGATATTTTTCTCTTCACACATACAAGGGTATTTTGGTCTTAGATTTTGACTAGATATTGAGTATTCTTGATCTATGAACATTTTTCTCTTTACTCTTTTCTGTAAAAGCAGATTTTATATCTCTCTTCCCTTCCAAAATTGGCACTTTAT